AGCCTTCAGATACTGAGTGGCATAGTAGACCATGACGAACATAAAATGATACCCAGTGGAGCTTTTGGGCAATGTGCCCACCACATCCAACGTAATGCGGGAAAACAGGTCTGTAATAATAGACATTGCTTACAATTGCACTGTTGGGGGCTTCCTCTGACTCACCTTTTGACACTCAGGGCACCCCGCACATAACTGTTCCACTTCTTTATGCAGGTGAGGCCAAAAAAAATGACACGTCAAGTGGGCTTCCATTTTCCCCTTCCCCAAATGACTACACAGAAGATTCACATGCTGTCCTCTTCCCTGTCCCTTTTAATTCGACACAACCTATTCCTAAAGTCACAGCGGGGAAGCCTCCCACACAACTCTGGCCAGATTACCTTCTGTTCTCTCTTTGCTACCTTGGTTTCCCAGACGGCTTGGAAGGTGGGTTCCTGTCTCTATGCCTCCCTAAATTGGATACCACTGGCCAGCCCCTCCATATTGAAGGAAGTCTCATCCCCCCATCACCTGGCACCGCTACCTCTTCTCTCAGCAGCCCTGCTTGACACTTCTCTTGGGCTCTAATGTCATCCAAGGGGGCATGCACCTCTGACCAATCTCTCCCCAGCACCATGGTGTATGGCAATTCTGGTGCTACTCCTATGGATATTTCTCTGGTGATTCTGTATGCAGTCACTGGGATCTTTCTATGCTCATACATTGAAGCCTGGACATGCATGCAAATCATTCTAATAGGTGTGGTCTTCACTGCTCCCTCATGCGGCATGAGATTAGCCCTAACTACGGACTGTGAACAGCCTGTATCTATGATCACCTGCACTTGTTTCCCAGTCGCTTCAATCATCAGTATGGGTTTTTCTGTGCTGAGTCCACCATAGCCTCCCCCAGTCTACATTTCAACATCTCAATCTGGGGCTGTTCCTGAGGGGCAGTTCTGCCCGCTTTCAGCTCTCCCCATGTCTCTGTAGTCAAAGGATAGCTCCATGAACTAATGAAGCAGTCCCTCACGATATGTCCCATTTGGCCACAATGGAAACAAATGATCCCTTGCTGGGAGGTTCTCATCTCTATATTCTC